AGAAATGGACAATAGCCAGGTCATATATAAAAAGAGAAATCTGACCCACAACCTGCAACAACCAGCCCAGGACACCAATCTATCATGTTCGGTAGCCAGCCCGGGACACCTGCTGGGTAAGTTAGACTTGTAGGAAGTCAGACCACTATCTCCAGGAACCAGCCCAGAAAGTCAAACAATAACCCCATAACCATCGACCTCAAAGGACCAGGATCTGATTAATCATGGACAGCTTCCCTCATTTTTGTCCCTGCTTCCAACTTAGTACTGAAGAAAGCCAAATACACTCAAAAATGGTTAAAATGGTAAATTTTATGTTCTGTATATTTTATCATGACTGAAAAAAAAAGTGACTTAGAGCCAGAGCTGGGAAGCTGGGTGAGGGGCGGGGCTGAGGGGTGAAGTGAGGGGCACACGGGGCTGGTAGCGTGGCTAGGAAATGGCAGGCCAGGTGTATGGGGGTGGAAGGGCCACGGAGGGCAGGATGGTGGCAGGGTCAAGGCATCCGGCCTCCCACAGGCTCATCCTCAGGCACTGGGGGTTGGTAACCGGGTGAAGGAGGCCTTTCGCCATCCTGCCCTGCACTGTAGGAAGGGGTGACTGGAGCCAGCACAGCCAGGGCAGAGGTGGGGGCGTGGGGAGGCTCTCTGGATGTCCAGTCCCATGGAGGAAACAAACCCCAGAGTTCCCGGCACCTCCCACTCCCTTCCTTCTTCACAGCCGTTATGTTCTAGAAATTCACCAGTTCATCAGTGAATTCCAAATCGCTGCTCCTAGGGGAAATACAAGGTGGGGTTCCTGTGAGCTTCCGGTCACAACATTTTCATCAAGCGATCAACGTACAACCTTGTGTGATGGGTGTTTCTGTTTAAAGAAACCTTGTGTGATATACACTGATAATTCATTAACACTGAACTCACGGCCACCAGCACTATTACTCGTGCCGGAACGAAGCTCACCTGACACACGCATTTTCTCCGTAAGGCTGTCACAACCTCTTGAGCTTGGCAACACCAGATGGTTCTTAGCCCTAGGCTTGGGGCCCTTTTTTTTTTTTTTTTTGACTGCGTTGGGTCTTCGTTGCTGCACGCGGGCTCTCTCTAGCTGCGGTGAGCGGGGGCCACTCTTCATGGCGGTGCGCAGGCTTCTCACAGCAGTGGCCTCTCCTGCCGCTCAGCACAGGCCCTAGGTACACGGGCCTCAGCAGTTGTGGCACGTGGGCTCAGTCGTTGTTGCACACTGGCTCAGCTGCTCCGCGGCACGTGGGATCTTCCTGGACCAGGGCTCGAACCCACGTCCTCTGCATTGGCAGGCGGATTCCCAACCACTGCACCACCAGGGAAGCCCCCTTTATTTTCGGGGGGGCCCATTTTAAACAGCAAAGTCACCACGAAAAAGCACCAAAATGTGAAACAAACAAATAAACCAGCCACGAGAAGGACCCTTGTTTACAGCAGGGACCGAAACAAGTGGCCTCGTTTGACAACGGCTGGGAATGTGCGTATTGGGCAACTCCGATTTTTTGGCTGCTCTGCAGACGTCCATGAATGGCCGAAAACGAGCTGTGAGTATTAACCTGGAGTTACAAATATGCTTCAGCGAGTAGGCGAGTTTGCAAATAGACAACCCATAAACAATGAGACGCTCTGAGCATTTGTTTATATTCCGAGCTGGTCTCTCATGCTCGGCACCTTCTCATTGGTCTCCTGGCCAGGGGTCTGGCCATTTCTTATTCAATAAGATGAATAATCCTAGGACCATCCTCTTGAAGACTTACAGGCCAGGCAGACCCACCCCTGATATTTCCAAGTGTTGTGGGGTTGACCCGTGGTCCCAGTTTGTCTGGGACCAAAAGTTTTCCCAGGATGTAGGACTTTCAATGCCCAAACCAGAAGAGTCCCTGGCAAACTGAGCCGACTTGGACACTATCTGTATGTGAAAATGATCTAAAAGTTTGAAATCTCAATTATTTAATATGGCTGAAAGTTGAAACCTTATTAAATATTTTTATCAAGATAAAATCAGTTGCAATTCTCCTGTCCCATACCCACCTAGCTGCCAAAGTAAAAATGTATCAAGTTTCATGCGTTACGGCCAGGCCTGTGAATATACCAGCTTAATAGCAACATGAACTGCTTAATACTGCAAAGTATTCCTCAGTCTTCGGGTACAGCTATGGCCAAAACATCCCTTGTTATATCACAAGTACCATGAATTAGAACATGAAGGGCAGCAAGAAAATGGACACTTGCTATTTCTGGGTAACGCCACCCTGTGTCCTGCGACCTAATTGCCTCCAGGCTATCAGATGGAAATTTGATCCTTCATTCCTAAATGCTTGGGCTGCCAGTAAAGTTCTGAGTCCTGTGAGCTGTTCTAGCAAATCATAAGGGGGGAGTCGTGGGGTCCCCCGACGTTGGCATCGACTCAGACAGAAGTGTGGGTACCCCGGGGACCCGATTTGCCCCTGGCGTCTGAAGCGGGGCCAGTCTTGCGGGACCAAGGCCTTCACCCGTGGGGTCTGTGCTAACTCTGGGTAGCAAGTGTCAGAACTGAACAGAACGTTGGACACCCAGCTGGTGTTTCTGAGAGTCGTAGAAGTGGTGTTGGAAAAGTTATTGACATAATGGGTGTCAGAAGCATGGTGGGTAAAAACAGCTTACCCTGGGCTTCCCTGGTGGTGTAGTGGTTGAGAGTCCGCCTGCCATTGCGGGGGACACGGGTTCGTGCCCCGGTTCGGGAAGATCCCACATGCCGCGGAGCGGCTGGGCCCGTGAGCCATGGCCGCCGAGCCTGCGCGTCCGGAGCCTGTGCTCCGCAATGGGAGAGGCCCCAACAGTGAGAGGCCCGCGTACCGCAAAAAAAAAAACAAAAAAAACAAAAAAAAAACAGCTTACCCTGGGGACTTCCCTGGCGGTCCAGTGGTTAAGACTCCGCGCTCCCACTGCAGGAGGTGCCGGTTTGATCCCTGGTCGGGGAACTAATATCCTGCATGCCGTACAGCATGGCCTCCGCAAAAAAACAGCTTACCCTCACACGGTTACTTTCTCCCAATGGACCAGATAAGGAAGCTAAGCTACGAGGTAAATGATGCCTGCAAGGCCTAACTCACTCTGCTAGTGAGTGGAGAAGCCAGCATTTGTGTTCAGCCGTCTAATGTCAAAGCTCACAGACCCAGCCACAGCCTGCCCCGAGGGAGCACTGGGACATGGAACCCCTGCCCAGTCCTTTCTTCTCTTTGTTTGGGCAAAGGGCGAGTCCACTTGCTGTCAACATGCAGCCACGAAGAGGAGGTCACTCCTCAGCCCTGATCCTTTCTCACCTACATCTGGGTCACGCCAGGGAAGACAGATTTCCCAGGCGGCCTGCCATGAATGTGTGTCTGTGGATAGGAAGAGAATACAAATGCCAGTGGCTGGCGGCAGGATGACTCATCCGGGGCCTGCGAGCACAGCCTCTAATTCCCGCCCCGAGCCTGGCCTTCCTGTCATTAGTCCTAAGGGTAGTCATGCAACGCAGGAGGGCTGGCAGGTGCAGGATGAAGGGGTCCCAGGTAAGGGGAGGAGGTGCGAGATTGTGGCCCCAGCTGACCCTGACAACAGGCTCAGTTTTCCCACCCAGAAATCTCATTTCTGTCCCAGCCCTGAGTGTAGGGTGGGTGTGGAGGGCAGTCAGCCGAGACAGCCCTGTGGGTGCTGCCCCCCCGCTGCCCAGCAAAGCCAGCATGGTCAGGGACAGACAGAGGGACCAGCCCTTTCCTTGCTCTGGGCCTCAATCTATGAAGTGTCTGTGTGATGTCGCTGTTGGCTCAGGTGGTCACTAGGGCCTGCAGCATCCACGCCCTGGGATTCCGGTCCATAGATGGGAGACAGAATGACCTACCCTGGGGGTGTGCAGTCCCTGAGGCAGCCCAGCCTCAGCCTCTGCCCTGATCCTCGGCCCCCTGACACCTCCAGGCACAGGTTCAGCCCAAGCAGGGGATGCCTCAGACTTGGGAAGCTGTGTGGGTGGGAGGGTCATGCATAACCCCTGTGTCCAGGGGCCTCACAGGTGACATTTTGAATCCTGGCAGCATCTCCACCCGTCGTTTTACAGAGGACACGGTGGGGGGGGGCCTGATCCCAAAGTCCACACTCTGCGCTCCATGTGGGCCTTGGTGGAGAGGGGAGGGGGCTTCTCTGTCCACAAAACAGGGGGTAGGATGGCCCAGTAGCCTGGGTTGCTGGCTGTACAACTCTGGGCAAAGGCCTAAGCTCCCTGTGTGGGCTGCTCTGGAAATGCTCTGTGCAGTGTGGACACAGTGGTCAAGCGGACCCTAGACACTTCCTAAGGGCACCAGGAATCACCCAGGCCTGAGCCTCCTGAACTCCCATGGTCCTGCACTGCCCACCCCACCTCCCAGCACCAAGCACCTGTTATTCACAGATTTTTCTTAGAAGTGAAACTTTGAAAGGTAAGCTTCGTGTCATTATCATTAAATGAAAAATCTCTACCGCTTGCCGTGAACTGAAGGCATCATACAAAACCCTGCAGGAAATCAGACATGAAATTCTATTTAGATGCTGGTGTCTGCTGAAGGCTTGCTGACTCGTAAAAAGGGAAATGATAAAGCGTCAAAAAGATATTAACAACCTAAGTGGGCCGCTGTTAGTTTCTCCCTGGTTTAAGGGATGAAAAGGATCGGAAAGGGAGGTGTTTCTCTCCACGACACCCACTGTTATTGGAGCGTCGGAAACCTCTCTCCACCCTCACGCGGGCACGGGTCCTCCCCTCTCCTCTGCCCGGGTCCAGGCCCTCCCAGCCCTCCGCCGCCCGCGTGCTGCCCCAGCATTGGGCGGCCCACCGGCTACCTCGCCTGGTCCGAGCGGGGGCGGGGCCGGCCGGGTGACGTCACGCCGGGAATGCCTGGGGTGAGTGCACCCGGGCCGGCTGAGAGCCAGAGTGGGCGCCGGGCGGAGACGCAGCGCTCTCGGACCCCGGACGCCCGACCCGCCGCCGCTATGTACGACCCCGAGCGCGGCTGGAGCCTGTCCTTCGCCGGCTGCGGCTTCCTGGGCATCTACCACATCGGGGTGACCAGCTGCCTGAGCGAGCGCGCCCCGCACCTCCTGCGCGACGCGCGCACGTTCTTCGGGGCCTCGGCCGGGGCGCTGCACTGCGCCTTCCTCCTCTCTGGGATCCCCATGGGTAGGTCCGGGCCGCCGCGGGGCTCCGCGCGGGGAGGGGGCGCGCGGTGGAGCCGTGATTGGAAATGGAAACTGCGGGGTACACCCGGGGTCTCCCCAGACAGATGCCTCCTCCAGTGCATCTTTTTGCCCTGCACCGGGGAGCTCTGTTGCCGGGCCTGGGAGGGGGGCGCGCCGGGTGAGCGGCTTTTCTGGGTGTGGGAACCCGGAGCGCCTCCTCGCCTCGACACCCTTTTGGGGCTTGAAGAAAGCGCCCCCAGACACAGCCTGGGACTGAGAGCCAGGTTGTCTCAGAGCGACGGGGAGGAGGGAGCGCGACGCCTGGGGTGGGGGGGCGGGGGGCGGGGAGGGGGGGTCGGAGGCCCGATTTGCCCTGCTTCCGGCCAGGCCAGGAAGGAGGTTTTGGCCTGTGGCCCAGGGTGGCTTCCTTCTTCTCTCTGGGGACCAGAGGGACTGGAGACCCCCGGCCCCGGGCACCTTTGATCTCTGCCCAGCTCTCGTGGGAGCTCTGGGGGCGGCTGGGTGCCTCTCAGGTAGAGGGCAACTTGCTGGTTTGGATTGAAAGAGGGTTGGGGAGAGGTGTTTTGTGGAGGGGGGGAGACGGGGGTGAGGGGAGGTAGGAAAGTTGTCTCTTCCTTTTCCGGTGTTTGAGACCCTTTTTGGGGGCTGGACATCCCACATCCCCTCCTCTTCTCGCCACCACACCCCTGCTCAGTGCCCTGGAAACGAGGTCCTGTGCATTTAAATCTTGTTCTAGTGAAGCATCTCTGTAATCGTGGGTACCAGTGGGAGGGGCGGACTGGGGCTTGTGGCCAGCTGGCCTAAATTACTAGGGTATGACATCCTTGGCCTGGGATCCTAGCCAGGGAGCAGGGCCTGGAGCAAGTGGCAGCATGGAGCTGTTGGCATCCAGAGGCCCCCAGACAGGAAGATAATGCACCTTTTCATTAGCCCCTGTTTGTCTGGGCTTCCTTAACGGTTTACTCTTTACTCTACCCAGGGACTGCTGTGTCGGACGCTGGCAGCAGGAATCCCTTTAGTAAGCACAGCCCTGCCATTGGATAGGATCAGGGAGCAGACCCTGGGCTGATGGAGAGGTGGAGATTAGGAGAGGCCACCGTGGCCGCCTTCCCCATCGAGGGGGAGAGGAGCAAAGGGCAGGAAATGTGACCTCAAGGAGGACCAGACTGGCCACCTTGGGCTTGAGCCAGCCCTTGTGTCCCAGAGTTGTGACCTGGAGACAGCCACATGGTCAAATGTTTAATTGGGACCAGATTCAAATGCACAGACGCCAGCACGTGAAGTGCCCTGACTCCAGCGTAGAGGGCGTTCCTGACAGGCAGAGGACAGGTGCAGCCTGGGGTTGTGTCCTGCAGGGGCTGGCTCGGGACCACCAAGTCCCTGGAAGGTGGATCTAGAGGTCCTGGCAAGAACGGCTCCGGAGGTTCTGGGAGCCCCAGCTTCCTGCTTTAACTGCCTGTCTCACTTGGGGACCGCCGGGGAGCATTTCCCAGGGCCTGTGACTTGGGCATGGCTCCTGAGAGCGCCTCCAAACCCAGGCTGACTTGGCAGGAGAGACTGGCAGAACCAGCCAGCTGTGTGCAATTTTGTGCCTTCTGTCGGGGCTCAGTGGGGCCACATGTGCAGGGAGAGCTGAGTGGAGGTCGGAAGCGGGTCAGGACCTGCTGATGTGTGTCCGGCCTTCTGCATCCCAGGATCTCTGGATGACTAGGGCTCGGGCTGGGACAGGTACTCTGTCCAGGGCAGTGCAGACCAGCCAGAGGGGGCCAGGCCAGTGAGTGAGGTCAGTTGGAGCATGCACGTGCCCTGTGCCCACTGGATGGTCTGGTAATTGTGACATTAGAGGTTAAGAGTGAAGTCTAGTTGTTTAGTAGGTGCTTCGTCTAGGTTGAGCACCTGTAGATTGTAGTGTATCTAATCTTCTCTATTTCCAAAAGGTAGTTGAGTGTGGTCCCACGTTAAAAACATGCAGTCTGAGACTCAGAGAGGCAGTGAAGTGGCTTAGTTTAGCGGCTCAGCTAGTAAGAGGTGGAGGCAGGATCCAAACTCAGGTCCAAGGCTGCGCTTGCTGTCTGCTCCCTTCAGTGTTAGGCCCATTCGTGCTCAAGGTCCGACGCTGTGAGTGCCTAGCTTCTGGCCTTGATGGAGGGCTGGAGGTGAGGAGAGGGTTCACGGGGCCTCTGGAGGCTCGTTCCTGTGGCCGGGGAGGGCCTAGAGCACTAACTAACAGAAATAGGCCTATCTTACCTTTCCTAGTAGCCGCATGGAAAACGTAAAAGGCATAAGTGAAATTAATTTTATTTATCCCAGTCCAGCCAGAATCTTATCATTTTCACATCTAATCAATATAAAACATTATTCATGAGATACTTTACATTTTGTTGTTGTTCTTGTTGCTCTAAGCCTTTGAGATCCAGCGTGTCTTTTACCCAGCTCAGTTTGGGCTAGCCACATCTCAGGCCCGGGAGCCACACGTGGCTGCCGGATCGGACAGCCCAGGCCTAGAGAAAGGGAAAGGTCAGCAGCTTCCCTGCTGCCAGGTTTCTGGTCCTGCCACAAAGCATTCCCATCTCCAGGGTGGTACATTCCTTTGTATACTTGTCTCTCTCCGTCCAGAGCAGACATTGCAGGCCCTCGTGGACCTTGTCCGGAGCGCCAGGAGCCGGAACATTGGCGTCCTCCACCCGACCTTCAGTTTGAACAGGGAGGTCCGAGATGGTCTCCAGAAACACCTCCCAGACAACGTCCACCAGCTCGTCTCGGGCAAAATTGTCATCTCGCTCACCAGAGTGGCCGATGGAGAAAATGTGCTGGTGTCTGATTTTCGGTCCAAAGACGAAGTCGTGGACGTAAGCAGTTTGCTTATCTGGGTGTTGTCAAGTCATAAAGACCGTTTCATTTCAGAAGCAACAAAGAGAGGGCTGTCGTAAGCCACCTGACCCGTTCTTTTCTTAAGATGCAAAAGAACCTGGTTGCGCACGATGCTGGCTGTAGCTTCCTGTACCAGGGTGATATGAACTGAGGGCATCCAGCGGTCTGGTCCAGAGCATATGCAAAACTGGAGTGTTCCAGGACACTTTCAGTTTCAAATAACCCCTCCCCATCCTTCAAGGCTTGGCTTATGACCTTTTGCTCCAGGGACCTCCTCCCACATGTGTCCCTCCTCCCATCGATGCCTGTTCCTTCATGAGGACCCCTGCAGTGAAGTCCCACAAGGGTGGGAGTGTGTCTTGTTTGCCTCTAGCAGAGAAGCTCACTGGCAATATGAAACTACCACTTAGTTTGGCCGAGGCCTTTTATGAGAATTGCTTGGATATCATTTCACTTAACACAGGTCCCTACGAGCACGCAGCCTGGCACGTAGAACCAGCAGCTTCTCAGCAGCCAGTGTCATCTTCCACTTAACCTTGTTTGTGGAGGCTTCCTCTAGGCAGCCAGCACCTGTGCGTTCCCACGTGAGCCCTCTCTCTCACTGCATCAGTGTTACATCCTGCCTGATGCTCGCTAGCGTGGCGCGACTCGAAGCGTGGGCCCCGGACCAGCAGTCGCAGCAGCGGCATCGCCTGGGAGCTTGTTAGAATTGCAGGCTCCCAGGCCCCGCCTCCAAGCTGCAGCATCAGAACCTTAGGGGTGGGGCACCGAGTCTGTGGTTCGCCACGCTCTCCAGGCGATTCTGATGAACCTCAGCGTTTGCAAAGCCCTGATCTAGCCCCTTCCCTGTCAATCAGCTAGTCACCAACTCTTGGTTCTGTCTCTGATGGCCCAGTGTGACCCTCGTGGGGAGCAGGGGCAAGAAGCTACAGTCTGCAGATGGTGTCGTTAGAGAATTGGTACTTGGGCCTGAAATAATAAGTGTGTAGGTTGGTTCATGTTCGTTCAACCATTTATTAAAGCACCTCCTCTGTGCCAGGAGTGTTTTCAGGCTTGTTGCTCTCCTAGCTTGGAGGAGAATTATAAAGACCCAGGGGAACAAAAGGCAGCCTGCTCTGGGCTGTGGTTTCACTCCCTTTTGTCTCCACAGGCCTTGTCTTGTTCCTCCTTCGTGCCTTTCTTCAGTGGCTTGATCCCCCCCTCCTTCAGAGGCGTGGTAAGTCCGCTTTTAAACTGTGTTTGAGGGAATTCCCTGGTGGTCCAGTGGTTAGGACACCTCACTTTCACTGCCAAGGGCCCGGGTTCGATCCCTGGTCGGGGAACTAAGATCCAGGAAGCCAAGTGTCGAAAAAAGAAAAGAGGCACTGGGCTCAGGTACCCTGGGCCCCTGAGACCTGTCCCCAGACGCGGAGGCTTTTTGCCTCTCAGCCTTCAGACAGAGATTCCATAGCTGGCCCCCTTCCGGGCTCTGTGGGCAGCAAAACCAACTTCGTGTAGAATAATTAGCTGGTTATCTGTAAGGTAAGCTCTTCAGTTAATCTTTTTTTTCTTTTTATTTTGGGAATTTTTTTTTAACATCTTTATTGGAGTAAAATTGCTTTACAGTGTTGTGTTAGTTTCTGCTGTATAACAAAGTGAATCGGCTGTATGTATACATATATCCCATATCCCCTCCTTCCTGCATCTCCCTCCCACCCTCCCTATCCCACCCCTCCAGGCGGTCACAAAGCACGGAGCTGATCTCCCTGTGCTATGCGGCTGCTTCCCACTAGCTACCTATTTTACATTTGGTAGTGTATATATGTCAGTATTACTCTCTCACTTTGTCCCAGCTTACCCTTCCCCCTCCCCATGTCCTCATGTCCATTCTCTATGTCTGCATCTTTATTCCTGTCCCACCCCTAGGTTCATCATAAGCATTTTTTTTTGATTCCATATATATGTGTTAGCATGCAGTATTTTTCTCTTTCTGACTTACTTCACTCTGTATGACAGACTCCAGGTCCATCCACCTCACTACGGATAACTCAATTTCATTTCTTTTTATGGCTGAGTAACATTCCATTGTATATATGTGCCACATCTTCTTTATCCATTCATCTGTCAGTGGACACTTAGGTTGCTTCCATGTCCCGGCTGTTGTAAATAGAGCTGCAATGAACTTTTTGGTACATGACGCTTTTTGAATTATGGTTTGCTCAGGGTATATGCCCAGTAGTAGGATTGCTGGGTCATATGGTAGTTCTATTTTTAGTTTTTTAAGGAACCTCCGTACTGTTCTCCATGATGGCTATATCAATTTACATTCCCACCAACAGTGCAAGAGGGTTCCCTTTTCTCCACACCCTCTCCAGCATTTATTGTTTGTAGATTTTTTGATGATGGCCTTTCTGACCGGTGTGAGGTGACACCTCATTGCGGTTTTGATCTGCATTTCTCTAATGATTAGTGATGTTGAGCATCCTTTCATGTGTTTGTTGGCAGTCTGTATACCTTCTTTGGAGAAATGTCTATTTAGGTCTTCTGCCCGTTTATGGATTGGGTTGTTTGTTATTTTGATACTGAGCTGCGTGAGCTGCTTGTGTACTTTGGAGATTAATCCTTTGTCAGTTGCTTCGTTTGCAAATATTTTCTCCCATCTGAGGGTTACCTTTTTGTCTTGTTTATGGTTTCCTTTGCTGTGCAAAAGCTTTGAAGTTTCATTAGGTCCCATTTGTTTATTTTTGTTTTTATTTCCATTTCTCTAGGAGGTGGATCAAAAAGGATCTTGCTGTGATTTATGTCATAGAGTGTTCTGCCTATGTTTTCCTCTAAGAGTTTTAAGTGTCTGGCCTTACATTTAGGTCTTTAATCCATTTTGAGTTTATTTCTGTGTATGGTGTTAGGGAGTGTTCTAATTTCATTCTTTTACATGTAGCTGTCCAGTTTTCCCAGCACCACTTATTGAAGAGGCTGTCTTTTCTCCATTGTATATTCTTGTCTCCTTTATCAAAAATAAGGTGACCATATGTGCGTGGGTTTATCTTTGGGCCTTCTATCCTGTTCCGTTGATCTGTAGTTCTGTTTTTGTGCCAGTACCATATTTTGTAGCTTTGTAGTATAGTCTTAAGTCCGGGAGCCTGATTCCTCCAGCTCCATTTTTCTTTCTCAAGATTGCTTTGGCTATTCGGGGTCTTTTGTGTTTCCATAACAATTGTGAATTTTTTTGTTCTAGTTCTGTGAAAAATGCCATTGGTAGTTTTATAGGGATTGCTTTGAATCTGTAGATTGCTTTGGGTAGTATAGTCATTTTCACAATTCACTTAATCTTCACATGAGCACTGAAACAGGTGCCCAGTGGCCTATTAAGGTATAAGATGCTTAAGAGTCAGTTACTCACTTAAGGTAATAAGTTGTTTTTTTTTTTTCTTAGCTGCATTGGGTCCTCGTTGGGGCATGTGGGCTTTCTTTAATTGCAGCAAGTGGGGGCTACTCTTCGTTGCCGTGCGCGGGCTTCTCATTGCGGTGGCTTCTTTTGTTTTGGAGCACGGGCTTCAGTAGTTGTGGCACGCAGGCTCAGTAGTTGTGGCTCGTGGGCTCTAGAAAGCAGGCTCAGTAGTTGTGGTGCACGGGCTTAGTTGCTCTGCGGCATGTGGGATCTTCCCAGACTAGGGCTTGAACCTGTGTCCCTTGCATCGGCAGGAGGATTCTTAACCGCTACACCGCCAGGGAAAACCGGTAATAAGGCTTTATTCATAGGGGTTGAGGGTTATAACCCTCTCTGGGTCTGACTCTATCCTTTTCAGCCCGTGGCTTCGGGCAGAAGCTGCCAACAGGGCTGCAATTTGGTTCCATTCGACAAATATGTAAACACACGTGGCTAGTCCCGAGCCCTGCCTCTGGTGGAAAAACAGAAGTTGAGGTGTTTGTCCTGCAGGCTCTGGACTGGATGCTGGGCTGTGCTGGACCACCTGGCAGCCTCCTTCTAGGGCAGCAGTTATCAGATGATTCTGTCCTCCCACCCGGGAACATCTGGCGATGTCTGGAGACAGTTTAGGTTGTTACAGCTGTGGGAGAGAAGACACAACATCCCAGTGTGTCAGCAGGAAGGCACTTTAGAAACCCTCCTGGTTCATGCTTTAACAGCAGCACGGTTCTCAATTGGCAAAGCAAGTTGCAAAGGCAGGTTACACGTAGCCTCGCTCATGCCCCAGAGCATCGCCGGGACAGACACATACTTGCCCCTATTTACAGATGAGAAAACTGAGGCCTGGAGCAATTCTAACAGCGCCAGCCTGGCAGACAAACCTAGAATCACATGTCTGCTCTAGCCCACGTTAGCTGGACTACTTTGGACACATTTCTTAACCTCTCTGAGCTTGAATTGGCAAAGGAGGGTTAATAATAATGAGGGTTAACAGTAGCGCACAGGTGTAGCATTGTTGTGGGAATTACATGCGGTAATGCAGTGAAGATGCGGCATAGAGCCTGGCACAGGTAAGTATCCGGTAAATATGGGTGGTTTTGTCATTGTTGTTATCTTTCCATTTCCCCCAGGCTGCTCCAGCTGTGGTGCACACACAGTCAACCCCCTCAGTGTACTCAGATGAAACCTGCCGATAATTAGAGCAAAACGTTGAGCTTCCACTGAGCGAACTCAGAATGTTCCTGTAGAAAAGTTCAGGGTGGAGGGAAAATTATACAGGACAGAGGAGTCATTGGACTTTATCCCTTGAGTGAAAAAAGAGTGGATATATGGATATATGTATATGTGTAACTGATTGACTTTGCTGTACAGTAGAAACTAACACAACATTGTAAATCGACTAGACTCCAATAAAAACTAATTTTAAAAAATAAATAATAATTAAAAAATAGTCAGCTCCTTCCTCCCTCCTCAGTCTTAACTAAAGATTCCCGACATTTGGTCCTGTGTCCCTTTCTGCCAGTGAGGGTTTTGATGCCTTCCTGTATCTTCCGTAGAAATCACATGGCGACAATTTAGAAACTACTGCTGTGCGTGCACATCTAATCATTTTTGGACTCAAGGCAAGAATCTCTTGATAGCTAAGCCATGGCTGAACGTGCCTGATTCTTTTTTCGACTTGTTTTAGGCCAAGGTGTGCCCTGAGATTTCTCCCTTTGGAAGGATTGGCTGGGGAAATTCTCCCAGTTGTGATATTTGAAGGCCCCCCCCTGTCTGTGGGCACCAACAGCTGGGCTATGATGGTCGTGGGTTTGGGAATCATTCTAGACATTGGTTTCATAGGTGTAGACTCAGTCCAAATTGTACCAAAACCTGCCTGCCCCAGCCTGGCCGTGGGCACTAAGGTTGTTCAAGGATATGGCTACAGGAAAACTGATTCTCACAGTACTTACCCCAAATGCACCTTTGTTGTGGGATAAGATGCCATTTTCAGAGAGCTCGAGTCCCAGGTTCACTGCGTCATTTAAGTCTCCAGTGCAGCTTCTCATTTCCCAGGTGTGGACGGGCTCACGGGTTAAGTGTCTTGTCCGAGATTCCTAAAGCAGCAAGGCCTCTGGAATTGAACCCATGACCGTCTGTCTCCCTTAGGGCCAGGTCTACATCACACTCTGTCCCCAGTGCACACAGCGTCCCTGGTCTAAGCAAATGACATGGGTATGCCTAGGGATGCCCACCTGGGCTCGGGACTTGGCCGTCACAACGTGGGCCAGACGCCAGCCTCCGTCTGCCTCTTGGCCAGGCACTTTTTTGTGCAGTGTGCAAACTACACAGCAGCATGTGGCAACCCTGAGCGCCAGCCTACAGCCTGGCCTGGCACAGAAATGCTCAGTAGGGATTTGCTGAAAGAGTGATCCCAGAGCCCCTCACCGTATCTGCCTGCGGCTCTGAGAAGCCTCTGGCCATGATCTGAAACACACAGAAAACCCCAGCCCAGAGCTTCTGACAGTATGTACTTTTTTTTTTTCTCCCTTAAAAGCGATACGTAGATGGAGCAGTGAGTAACATCATACCCTTCTTTGATACCAAAACGACCATCACTGTTTCCCCCTTCTATGGGGAGAGTGACATCTGCCCCAAAGTCAAGTCCACGAACTTTCTTCACGTGAACGTCACCAAGCTCAGTGTACGCCTCTGCTCCGAGAACCTCTACCTATTAACCCGGGTGCTATTCCCTTCGGATCTCAAGGTGAGGGGGCCTGGGGGCATTTAAGCAGCGCTGCTGTTCAGATCCCACCTCCAGGGGCTATAGCTTAAGTATGGGCAGCCTGGATAGTAGGATTTTTTTTTTTTAATTACACCAATGATTCTTATTTGCATCCATGGTCAAGAACTACACTGCGGGACTTCCCTGGTGGCACAGTGGTTAAGAATCTGCCTGCTGAGCAACTAAGCCCATGAGCCACAACTACTGAGCCCATGTGCTGCAACTACTGGAGCCGGTGTGCCTAGAGCCCGTGCTCCGCAACAAGAGAAGCCACTGCAATGAGAAGCCTGTGCAATGAAGAGTAGCCCCCGCTCGCCACAACTAGAGAAAGCCTGCGCGTAGCAATGAAGACTCAGTGCAGCCAAAAAAAAAAAGAACTACACTGCACTTGGTGGTTTAATTTTTTTTTTTTTTTTTTTTTTTTTGGCTTGTGAGATCTTCAGAGATTGAACCTGGGCCCTTGGCAGTGAAAGCTTGGAGTCCTAACCACTGGACCGCTGGGGAATTCCCAGTTGAATCTTTTTTTTGACTGTCGTTGTAGCGTGGTGGACCTCATCACCCTAACGTAGTAAGAAAGTGGGTAGAATCTGCACGGTGCCAGTTCTCTGGGGAGAAGGAAGGCTGTGCCACGCGACGTATACGTCAGCGTGTGCTTGCGGGGAGAGGGAAGGCTGGACGGCGGGATTGGTCTGCCCATGCGGTTTGTACACCGAGGAGCAAAGGAGGCAGCTCTTACTGTCCCACGACAAGTAGATCAGGCCCTGGTGTTTGTTAGGGTGGAGGCTCGTCCAGGGACCCAGGGAGACCAGAGAAACCAGCACCCGTCATGCTGGGGTACCAGCTGCACGGAGGAGGTGTCATTCGAGCTGAGTCCCGCAGGAAAGCAGAGCCCTGTCCCACCCCGCGGCGGCTGCGCTGGGCACGCGGCAGCGGCTTGGAGCTTGGGGGATTCTCGGCTTCGGGTCTGCCGGCTTCGGGTGCTGTTGAAAGGAATGGTGCCGAGCGACTGCCCCCTGCAGTTAATTTAATTGATTTGTCCACAGGTGCTTGGAGAGCTGTGCTGTCAAGGATATTTAGACACGGTCAGGTTCTTGGAAGAGAATGGTATGTATGGTAGGGCAACTGAAGTGCCCCTTTAACAAGCTTTCTGTTCACAGTCTTGGTCCACAGTCCTGACTCCATCACTCAGCGCTCAGCACCTTCACCCACCGTCTCGCTCGGCCCTCTCATGAGTCCCGCGAGATAGGAAATATTTGCCCCGTTTTACAGATGGGGAAACAGGCTTGGAGAGGCAGCCCAGGTCCGCACTCCACTCACTGGGGAGCAGAGCTGGGACCTACCTGAACCTGGATGTCACAGCCCTAGGGCTATTAGCTCTCCCTCTGCAGTGTCACCTGTCTGTGTGCTGAAGGCAGTTCCTTTGTTTTTCTTTTCTGCTTTTGGACAATTGTGAACCTTTAGTTTGATAAAGAAGGAAGATAAACAGTTTCTGGGCCGCAGGTGACAGAATAGCTCCCGCTCCCTCGAGGCAGGTGTGGGCCACGCCCACTAGCCCAGCTGTGTTCTGGGGAAGGTTCCTGCCTTTGACTCATCCTGGCTCGTCCAGGCTGGGGGACTTGGGTTCTGGAAATGTTAGAGTGGAACCAAATACGTTTGGGGCTATTTTTCTTCGATACTAAAGGTTGGTTCATGCATTAATCCTCTGAATTAGCCTTTGGCCAAGACCAAGGAGGTGGTGTGGTTCACGGGACATACATGTATTTATCTACTCAGAAAATGTTTACTGCATACCGTCTAGGTGCCAAGCAATTGACGACTCCACAGCGAACAGACGGATGTGGCCCCTGCCCTCCTGGAGCTTAGTCCCGGGGTTGTTGCCGAAATATCGGCTTCCCGGTGCACCAATGCCGAACAGAAATACAGAGACAGAGATTTTGGAGGAAGACAGAGATTGCTTTATTTTTCTGCCAGGCAGAAGGGAAGACACGGCAGCCTAGGGCCTCAAGAACTGTGTCCCCCTCCTTCAGGAATCGGAGAAGATTTTATATGTGGGGCTCGCAGTCTGGGGTATATGATAAGGATCAAAGTAGTGAAGGTCTTGCATTCTTCTTCTTCCTGCATCATTTCAAAATAGTCACAGCTGGCCTCATGTCAGGCAGCCGGGTAATTGGGTCCGTTTGTCTCTGGGTTATCGGCCTGTGACCTTTTTTCTGAAATGCAGATGCTGCAAGGGGTGATCTGCTACAAGGGAGTGCAGGATGTAATTCACGTAATGTTAAAGAGTAGTAGGTTAGCTTTGTGAAGTACAGATCTAGTTACAGAAACTACGGGTTAGTAACAGTTAAGAAACACGACTAGGAGTGATGAACTCTTTCAGGCCACGTTATGATTCTTCTCTTTCTCTAGTCTGTTTCACTGTTCCCTTTATTTTCCTTGTTCTCAGGAGAGGGAAAACTTCATTTCTATTTTTGCTGCAACATGGTCGGGGACAGATATGTCAAGAGAAGACTGACGGTGTGCTCGGTTGCCCTGGCAGGAAGATACAGGATGCTGTAGGATCACACAGGGAGCGAGGGGATCTGCAAGGCAGGGGGAAAGCAGGGCTTCAGGAGGGTGTGAATCCGTGTTGACACTCTGAGGGCGAACAGGAGCATTCTAGGCGTGGGGGACATGAACATGAGGTGCAAAGAAGGCGTGTGTAACTGGAGTGGCGGGAGTGGGGCACCCAGAGAGATGGACAGAAAGGAGAGGGGCGGGAATGGCAGTAAGTGAAAAGTTGAGGGACAAGGTTGGGCCTCACGGATGGGGTGAAAGGGTCTGCATCCCACAGCAATAGGGAGCCACGGAGGGCTGCCGGAGTGGGAGTGAGGGTGGTCAGAGGGAGCTTTGGAAGCCCCGCCCCCGGCCACAGTGCAGAGAGTGTGACGGCAGCATCCAGGAGGTCAAGGAGGCCGCCGTGGGCTTGGCCGGGGTCACGGCAGCAAGGGTGGTGGAAGGGGCCCAAGGGGACAGGACTTGGAGGCAACCAACCAGAGATTCGGGAGGAGGAAGACTTAGGGATGAAGACCTGGCCTCTGGCTTCTGCAGCTGGCACTGGGGGAGAGGGGCTCTGCTCAGGGTTCGGGCCCTCAGGAGGGCGAGGGTTCTGCAGGGAAGCTCAGGCCCCGTGTGCCGTGCCCCGGGGGCACATTTGGGTGGTTGTGCAGGAAGCACAGTGATGTCAGAGTCCGAGGTTCTGGAAAGCAGTCTGGACTGGGGATGAAATTTGGAAGCAACATGGGAATAAAGCACAGTGATGGACCCTGTGGAAGTTACTAGGTGACTTTGGGCAAGCCACCTCCCCTCTCTGGGCCTCCGTTTCCACATCTCCAGCAGAAGACATTTGGATTAAATGACGCCAGGTGCTTCTTAGTAATTCTAAAGACTGGCATGCGGCTGGGTGTTTGTGGCATCGGTGCTGGGTTTGGGTTTAATGATCTAAGAGAGGTCCTCCCTCTGCCAGGCTGGCCGCCTCGGGGTCCTGCAGAGGATGCGTGGGGCTGGGCCAGGTGTCCTCTGGGAACAGATTCTCTGAAACATGCCTAAGGGAAAGTAAGTCCCAGGGTGTGAGCTGTGTGTCTAAAAGAGGCCAGAAAGATCCAGGGGAGCGTAACTGGGAGCTGTAACTTGGGAGCAAGGTGTGGGCATCCAGGGGCAGCCCCTGGTCTTTTTTTTGGTGAATTCTTCTTCTTGCATCCTCTTTTATTTTTTTTTAATTAATTAATTAATTTTTGGCTGCATTGGGTGTTTGTTGCTGCGCATGGGCTTTCTCTACTTGCGGCGAGCAGGGGCTACTCCTCGTTGCGGTGCGCGGGCTTCTCCACGGGCTCTAGGAGCGTGGGCTTCAGTAGTTGCAGCACGCTTGCTCAGTAGTTGTGGCTCACGGGCTCCAGAGCTCAGGCTCAGTAGTTGTGGTGCACAGGCTTCGTGGCTCCGCGGCATGTGGGATCTTCCCAGACCAGGGCTCGAACCCGCGTCCCCTGCCTTGGCAGGCGGATTCTTAACCACTGCACCACCAGGGAGGTCCAGCCCCAGGTCTTTTAATCTGAGGTTGGAAGCAAGAGGTGAGCCGAGGCAGGCGTGGGCATCCGAAACTACCTGTCCCACTGCCCCCACCCAGTGTGCGAGCAGGAACCACCCACTGGCATTGGCTCCTGAGCCCCGGCACCTAGGGCAGGGCCTGCACAAACCCCCGACCTAATGCTTCCTTCGAGGCCGTGTGACGGAAGGGTGCCGTCTCTGACATCACATCTCGGTTCGATTCTGGCTGTGCCACGCATTGGCTGTGTGGCTTTGGACAAATCTCTTAACCTCTCTGTGCTTCTGATTCCTCAGCTGAAAAGCGGAGATGATGGTCGTGGTAGCAGTTGAATGGCTGCTGCGGGGCCTGGACCGCTGGCTTAACCAGTGGTTCCGTTACTATAAATTAGTTATAACCCTTAGCTTTGAACATCAAGAATCTACACGTGGCTCCAGGGCCCACACAGCTGGTGAGTGATGGAGCCAGGCGCCCTCGTCACACCCACCCGGCGTCAAAGCCCCGCACTCCTTTCTCCCAGCTAGGACTGCCTGCCCCAATGCAGGGGGTTAGGGTTCAATCCCTGGTCGGGGACTGATCTCCGCCTTGTACTAATAACAGGCCTGCAGCTTCCCTCTAATTTGGTGGGCAGGTGTGTGTGAGTGAGTAATGACCCTGCCGCCCGAAATTACCTGACGGGTTTGTTCCTGTGCCCTTCGCAGGCATCTGTGACAGGCCCCCTCTGTGCCTGAGTGCATCCCCAGCAGAGTCGGAAGTCCTTGAGGCCCCCCGGGAGCACGGGAGCCTGCAGTCTTCCCCGAGCATGGCCGCCGGGGAGGCGAAGCCTGAGGAAGCCACGCTGCTGGATCACCCACACCTCAGCATCCTGCCCTGGGAAGACAGCACCCTGGAGACCCTGTCGCCCAGGCTCACCATAGGTGCCGGCTCTGGGGGCGGGACGGCAGAGGCTCTCTGTGACCCTTTATGAGGCAGAAAGGGTGGCTTCCCTGTGTGTTGTGGAGGAAGGTCATGCCGCTGCGTGGGAAGAGATGGGGTGGACCGACCAGGGCAGGCCCGTTGGGACCCGCACCGCCCAGCACGGGCCTCCCATCCCCCTGGGTCCTTGCCCAGTCTCCCTTCCCATGGGGCCTGGCCAGAGGAAAACAACCTCCAGCTGAGTTTTGTGTTAACTGGCTGTGCTCTCTGCTCCTAAAGTCCAGGCACGCTGGATATTGTGGGGGGGACCCCCGGAGGTGGCCTGTTCTTTGAGAACGCCGTTCTCCGCCTGTCCTCCCATCTCAAAGCCTTTTCTCTCTCGAGGAGCCCCTCCTAATTTCTCCCTCCCCGCAAAATCACAGTTTTGAACCTTCACTGAATCCGGTTATTTTATCATGTCATCGATTATATAATGGATAGACGAATGCACCGTCCAGCTTCCAGCTGGGCATTTGGGGAAATTCAAAGATGAACGGCACAGGGATTTCCCTGGAGGTCCAATGGTTAAGACTCCGAGCTTCCAATGCAGGGGGTTAGGGTTCAATCCCTGGTCGGGGGACTGAGATCCCACACACCGCAGGATGTGGCCAGATAGAATAGAATAAATCAAAGACGAATGGGATGCCCGGTTCTTGCCCCTGAGGCACGGACACCCCAGGAGTTGCACTAACCAGCAGCTGCTCAGATTCCTGCCATTTGAGGCACCGGGAGGTCATTACAAAGGGGAAATAGAAGGCTAGGGGGTTCCAGGCAGAAGAGATGGAATCCAGCTGCAGGTGCAAAGAAGAGCTCATAAAACTGGGGCCAGGGGCACTTTGAGAAGTTTGTGTATGCCTCCAAAAGTAGCCAGTTTAAAAGAGAGTCTCTAAAAGGGACCCTGTACCCTGTAGAGGATCCAAGGGCTACTTGGGCACGTTCCCCACCTGATCTCATCTGTGGAGCTTCGGCTTCTTGGGCTGCCAGGATTTGTATGTTTCACAGACATTCCAAGCACCCCCCGGGGAAGCTGGTTTGGTTTTTACACTGGTGAGAGACAGACCTCCCAATTGTATTTTTCAGCCCTGAGGGAAGCAATTGGAAACCAAGATGGGTACATAAACAAGATGTGCAACTTCTTACCAATTAAGGTCATGTCCTACCTGGTGCTGCCCTGCACGCTGCCCGTGGAGTCTGCGATTGCTGTGGTCCAGAGGTGAGCGCTTCACGTGGCTTTGTGGCATCCTCATGGAAGTGGGGCGAGGATTCAGTGAGAGAAGCAGTGGAAGGCCCTCGGCCTGGGGCCTGGCTCCTTATACATTGGGGTGGAGTTCACTGTCAGCGTGGAACACCTTGGAAAGGTGCCTCGTTGGCAAGCCCCTGCCCACCCCTCCTCCTTTCCCACTGCTGTTACGTGTCTGTCACTTCTTGTAGGTCTGCACTTCTATTTTGGGATTTTTTTTTTTTTTTTGCGGTACGCGGGCCTCTCACTGCTGTGGGCTCTCCTGTTGGGGGCACAGGCTCTGGACGCGCAGGCCCAGCGGCCATGGCTCGTGGGCGCAGCCGCTCTGCGGCATGTGGGATCCTCCTGGACCGGGGCACGAACCCGTGTCCCCTGCATCGGGAGGCGGACTCCCAACCACTGCGCCACCAGGGAAGCCCCTATTTGGGGATTTTATTCCTGGTATGTTGGAGGGATCTGAGGCCAACACTGGGATGCCTACTGGATTCCTGAGCGTTTGTTTCCCCTCAGTTTTCTTCTGATGTACTTTGGTGTTTACTTTCTTTTTAGCGAGTTAGTCAACATGTCCCTCAGTCCATCTTTCAAAGTCCCGACCGTCCTTCAAAATCCAGCTCAGTCCTCCAGCTTTGGCCATCCTCCCCGGAGCCCCTCTCCATGTGCCAACTCAGCCACCCATTCCCGCACAGCCTTGCCCTGGGTTGAGGGCTGCTCTGGCATTTCCCAAGGCCCGAGATGTGGGGTCCTTTTCATGTCCTGGGTGCTGGGAGTCTGGAGGGCAGCGGTCAGGCCTCCTTGGGGGCTCCCTCTGCTGCGCTCGCACGTGGCCAAGCCCAGAAGACCTGGGCGCAGGGGGCGGTTCTCGACCGCAAGATGCTCTGCGTCGGTGGCCATGTTGCCACAGAGGAGTAGGATCCTGGAAAACCAAGGTCTTTTCCTTTTATTTCCACGTAAGTCCCTTGAGCGTTCCCAAATCAAAATATGGGCTCATTTTCCTTTGGGCTTTTAGGTTGGCTTGTCTTTGGGAATTTATCACGTCGGGGTTAGAAGTGACCCCAGCAGCTTCCCTGGACCATGATGTCGTTGTAAGATGTCTGCCTTTGGTTAGGGCTTGGTTTTGTTCTTTTTGGTTGATTTCTCTTCCTGCTCATACGACGTGGGCGTCTCTCTGTTTTATGCCTGCAGACTGGTGATGTGGCTTCCGGACATGCCCAGGGACATCCAGTGGCTGTGGTGGACAACCTCCCAGATTTGTTCTCGAGTGATGACGCGTTTGCTCCCTGTGGAGCCCTGCATCAAGGACACAGGACAAAAACTCCTGAATTAACCAAGCCCGCATAGCAACGGTTGCCATGGGCGCTCCTAATCTAACCGCACAGCCCCACCACTCCACAGTAGGTAAAGTATTCGCCACGTAGCAGCCTCGAAGCACCCTGACCAACCGCCTGATGCCATCCTGCCAGCAGGAATTCTCTTTGTCTTCAGGCTATAAAAGTTGGCCCCTAGCCCACAGAGGGGGCGGCTCTCCGTGGTCTGTCAGGAAGTGGCCCGCTGTATCTGCAGCGCCCCTCACTAACTCTGCACTTTGTTCTCAGTAAACTCACTCTTTCCTAAGATACTTCGTGTCTGGAAATTCTTCTTCCAGCCCACGTGCGGACCACGACATTTTGGTGGCCTGTACGGGGATATCTCCTGGCGGGATCTCCGCCCCCACCTCCTCTCCTCATTCCTTGGGACTCTCTGTGAACAGGCAAGCTGCCGTGGAAGCAACGGAGGACTCTGGCCAGGGCCACACCCTGGCGTGTTCCGAAGGCTCCACGGCTCGCTTCGCCCCAGTAACTGCCGCCCAGACGGCTGAGGATCCCTCTGTCTTTCTCCCGACTGAGGACTAGGCCGATTGGCATCGTGCAGGCACGGGTCAGGCATTTAAAAGCCGTTAGGGCGCCTGCCGCTTGAAGACACCCGTGAAAGGATAAGGGGGTCACGGAACAGACCAGGCTGTTAGAGCGTCTGCCCCCAGCAAGACAACTTCCGTGCAATGCGAGGCACACACTGGTTCAAGCAGAACACTGAGCCCCCGCCCCCTGGCCGCCGCCTTCCCGGCAGGACTACAAGGCCGATTCCTCAGCCTGTCTTCTCTGTTACTTTCACCTTTTTCTCAGTCCGGATTGACTTACAGGAGCCTAGGCATTGCCTCGGAGCCATCCCCGGAGTGCCTTTCACGTTTCAGGGAATCTCCAAACGGTGAGTCACCTGGTGGATCCCGGGAATCTCCTCTCCTTCCTTTCTTTCCCTGCCTGAGTCGCATGGTGCCTCAGTCGCACGCTCAGGGGTCACCTCTCACGGTCGGACGCGATTGTTGGGACGGTCGGCCCATTTTGTGCCTTAGTCGCACGGAGAGATCACTGGGACAAAGGGGACGCCTCTCTGTCAGCCGGTGACTCTCAGTACCCCCGTTCTACGGCGTACAGGCTAAGAATGGGTTCTGTGATGTCTCGGGAGCCTCCCTCGGACTCACCCCTCGGCTGTATCCTCAGGAACTGGGAAAATTTGACCCTGAAAATCTCAAAAAGAAGAGGCTCATTTTCTTTCATAACACGGCTTGGACCCAGTATAAACTGGGGGACCGCGAACAATGGCTTCTTAATGGGACACTAAATTATAACACGATCCTCCAACTTAATCTCTTTTGCCGGAAACAAGGAAAGGACTCAGAGGTTCCTTACGTCCAGACCTTTATGGCCCTTAGTCAGAATCCGGAGCTGAGGGACTCATGCCGCACGTGTCTTTCTGTTGCCACCTCATCCCCCCGACCCCCTCTGCCTCCCTCTCCAGCAGATCTCCTAGGCGGCCCTCCACTCGACCTTTCCTGTCCCCCACTTCATGAACCCTCATTGCTTCAGCCCCTGCACCCACCTCAGCACAGCTCCCCAGTAGGTACCCCCTTATCAGGGCGAAAGCCCCCCTCCCCTCCCCACACAAGATCCAGGACTGCCCAACGCCAGGAAACAGATTCTAATATGCTTCCCTTAAGGGAAGTGGCAAATGGAGACATGGGCACTATCAGAGTCCATGTTCCCTTTCCCGTGTCTGACATTTCCCAAATTCAAAAACAAGTTAGGTTCCTTCAGTCAGGGTGGCCACAGTATTCTTTAGACTCCGGAGAAAATTGGTTAAGATAAAAATTTGTTGAAATTGCAAAACCAGTTCTTTATGCATATGCAATTAGGGAAAGCTAGCTTGTTGAAATATCTTTTTCAGAATTCTGACCCTGAGAGAACAAAAAATATGCCTAGGAGAAAGCTTGAAGTTAACTCTTATCATGTCCTTGAACTACAAGCAAAGCCCACTTTGCCTGAGACTTCAGCCTTGGGTTAATTAGTAGAACTTCAAGCCAAGAAAAGAAAAAAAAAAAAAAAAGAGGCAGGGGCTTCCCTGGTGGCGCAGTGGTTGAGAGTCCGCCGGCCGATGCAGGGGACATGGGTTCGTGCCCCGGTCCGGGAAGATCCCACATGCCGCGGAGCGGCTGCGCCCGTGAGCCATGGCCGCTGAGCCTGCGCGTCCGGAGCCTGTTGCTCCGCAACGGGAGAGGCTACAACAGTGAGAGGCCCGCGTACCAAAAAAAAACAAAAACAACAAATCAAACAATTCTAAATACAAGAAAAATTAAGCTAAATAAATTTCAGATTCACGTGAACTGGGGAATATTCAATATTAAATTAATACCTGGTATTAATGTTTAAGTTTATTGATCTAATTAATATAGACATGTCTTTAGAGTGATCAAGATTAAGTATAATACTTTTATTGTGCCTAGGTTTAATATAAACTAAATAAGATGTTACTATAACTGTCACAAATTTGTCAGCAATGAAAACAACTCAATGTGAAGAAACTTTTTTTTTTTCGGTAAAAGTCTTTTGTCATTATAGACACTAACAGTTTCACTCTAATGCCTTTGCAAAATGCTTCCTCTTCAAGAAGATTTATAAAAAGGACTTTTGGATAAATACAAATTTCTGACTTTCAGACTATAATGATAACTAGGTAAGAAATTGAAGAATTCTAATGAAAAACCTGATGGCTTCATAAAAATGTTAACAGAAAGGATTAATTACAAATGACTGAATGAACCGGTAAATATGGTTATAATTTTATGGGTTCTATCTGAAACATTACTGGTTTGAATCTGTGTTTTCCAGGTGTAAGGAAAACCTTCCCCTCAAACTAATTCTGACTTACAGTAATTTGGTAAATTATACCTTTGTAAGCAAAATTGAAACATTTACATTTTTCGTCTGTCTGCTCACTCCAGAGATGGGAAACTCTTAGGTTCCCAGCAGCTTTATCAGGTAAATTAGGAAGGCTACCTCACTAACAGGTACAGAAATCTCAAGGTATTTTGGGAACCTTGAAAAGGGAGGAATTCACCTAGATCTGGTAAGCGAAATCTGTTACAAGCCCTTGGTGTGACTTTCCTAGCCCTGAGAGGGCGTTTAAAAGTTCAGTCTGAGACTCCTTATGAAAATTTCCCCAAGCAAAAAGCCTATATGATAATAAACTTAAAAATAAAAAAGTTTATTGAGACCAGGCTGAAATTTGGTTCTCTCTCTATTGAGAACGAAGTTTTCTTGGAATGCTGCTTTTAATAACAAACTATGTAAGTTCCTTTGTCTTTAAGTGATTTGTAGTTACTTTTTTTGTGTGTGTGTGTGCCGTACGCAGGCCTCTCACTGTTGTGGCCTCTCCCATTGCAGAGCACAGGCTCCGGACGCGCAGGCTCAGTGGCCCGTGCGCGGCACGTGGGATCTTCCCAGACCGGGGCACGAACCCGCGTCCCCCGCATCGGCAGGCGGACTCTCAACCACTGCGCCACCAGGGAAGCCCTGTATTTACTTTTAAAATCTTTTGTTACTTTAGTAAAGTAAATAAATATTATTTCACAATCATCTATGAAGATCGCGGCACGCATAGATAAAGTTCATTCTGCTTCTACAAAAATTAACCCCTCATTGCCAGACTTTTGCCATCCTGATGTCCTTAAAACATGACAACAGTCTACTCCTAAGTCAGGGAATTTAAACTGGGTAAACAATAGCTGTCAGTCAAACAGTCGGGGCTGTGGAAAATCCAAGAGGGCTGCTTGGCTTTTTCCAGCTCCCTGACAAAGCTCATGTTTTTATTTGATGGGATAAAGCCTTCCCTGGCTGCAGGGTTAATTCCCTCACAATGAAAAAAAAAAATTACATTTCACTGAATATTAAATTCTAGTTTTGTTAATTAAGGTCTGTGTTACCAAGACTCACTTCCCAGTTAGTTCCTTGCTGTCATATTGCTAAAAAGTTTAATTGAATTATTAAAGGACACTCTTAAGTTTGTTTCTAAAGCTTATCTCAGTAATCTCTTTTCGTATGAAGACCAGGGGCCCCACGACCTACAATCAGGGGATTATGCATACTGGAAAAGACATAATTTAAAGGACTGTCTGCGAGCTGGATGGATGGGGACCCATTGGGGGCTGGCTAAATGACTCTCTTTGTAACTACACCCTCAGTTTTAATCAGACTAGCCTGGAGTGGGGTCCCTGGTCAGAGGAGGATGAATATGATGTATTACATGAAGGTAATTTCAGTTTATTTTGGGGAAATTCAAGAAAAAATGCGACTAAGAAATATATTAATGAAGACCATATCCCCATAAACAGCTCGGTCTGGGGAACTAAATATGTGGGGATCGGTGTGACCACCAGACACTTACTTAGTTTAACCTCCCAGCAAGATTCTCCTCCAAAATATAACATAATTCAGCTAATATTCAGAAATTTGTTATGCCGATGCCCCTGTCACACTCATAGTCAGTCAGAGCCCAGATTCTCCCCTTTATGTATAGATGATTACTTCCTCGGAGTTTGGCCTTCCCAATATAATCCTAGGCCATAGGACCCCAGTCTGTTTCCAGAGGAAAACTCCCAAAAGGTCAGGGCCTGGCTCTGGGGACCCACAATGGGGGTATCCTTGAGGGGCACCGGATTTTCATTTCTGTGCGGTAACGGGGTCAATCTGGATCTTCCCACACTTTGGAGGAGCTCCTGCATGATAATTGCTGTGGTCCCAAGGCGACCATTATGACTGCAAAGGATTTAGCTTCCTTAGGAGACATTCCCAACCTTGGGTCCTTCCTCCAGGAGGCCTTAAGACCTGTCCTGGAGACAAAAAAAACGAACCGCTGATTGGGGGGGACATGCTTACGATAACCCAATTTTTGATTGCCCCGAATTAATGCATAGTGTCTTCAGAGGGCGCTCCTGGTTTGCGGGCAGGAGAGCTCCTCCCCTTAGAGAGGAGCGTTCTCCATCTCACCATTAAGCTCCAGGAACCTTGGAAGGCTACGGTAGCAGCCACTGAGGAACAGCAGTCAGCCGTAGGCTCTCTGGCCAAGGTGGTTTTACAAACTAGGAGGGCCCTTAATGTTATAACAGCTGAGGCGGGTGTGTCTGTGCCCAGCTAAATGAGACAGGCTGCTTCTATATTAATACCTCCGGCCAGGCTGAAGAAGACCTCCAGATTCTAAAGAAAAACATCAAATTAATAGGAGATTTAAAAGAGAGAGCAGGACAGGGCCCCAGCTGGCTTTCCAGCCTCCTCTCCTCTCTGGGGATCCAGATATGGACACGGCTATTGCCCTTGCTGGGACCATTTATCCTGATAGCCCTTGTTTCGTTGTTTGGTCCCTGCATTATTAACGCATTATCTAAGTTCATTTCCTGACAGGTTCAAAAGATTCAATTCCAGATGGTGCAACAAGGGTACCAGCCAGCTGGCACATGGACTGCGTCGGAACAAGCTGCCTTATCATTCCACGGGCCCTCATCTCCCTCCATAAACACACCCTGACAGAGAGCGGGCATTGGGACCCAGGGCGCCACGACGCCCCTGTCCAGCAGGAAGAAGCTAGGAACGGTCATCGCCCCTTTCCCCAGTGACCTGGGTTCCTATGGCCCGAGATGGGGATAGGCAGATAGTCAGTCATGAGCAGGGTGTTAAGGGGCCAAAGATTTGGCCCATATATAAAAAGAGGGGGGAATGTGGAGCCCTACGTCAAGGACAAGGGGCAAAAACTCCTGAATTAACCAAGCCCGCATAGCAACGGTTGCCATGGGCGCTCCTAATCTAACCGCACAGCCCCACGACGCCACAGTAGGTATAGTATTCACCACGTAGCAGCCTCGAAGCACCCTGACCAATCGCCTGATGCCATCCTGCCAGCAGGAATTTTCTTTGTCTTCAGGCTATAAAAGTTGGCCACTAGCCCACAGAGGGGGGCGGCTCTCCGCGGTCTGTCAGGAAGTGGCCCGCTGTATCTGCAGCGCCCCTCACTAACTCTGCACTTCGTTCTCAGTAAACTCACTCTTTCCTAAGATACTTCGTGTCTGGAAATTCTTCTTCCAACCCGCGCGCGCGGACGCAACACTCCCCGCTTCCACGCAGATGATTTGGCTGTGGGGCTGTGAGTCCGACAGGCACCCTCTCATCTGCTCAGGCCTCATGTGCCATTCTAGAAACGTCGTCGGGCCCCGGATAGGTGGCAAGGAGCTTACCCTCTGGCGCAGGAGGTCCTGTCTTATGGGAGGCGGCTGAGCAAATCAGAGGTCTCAGAGCACCTGCTGAAAGCTAATAACCAAGACTTAGCTGCACAGGATGCGGTGAAGCCCAGGGAGGGGGCGGGGAAGCGCGTCCACTGGGCCTAACTGACGGCAGAGGGGAAGAGAGCCGGCCGATGGAGCTGGGGCAGGGCAGAGGGACAGGTGCAGGTCAGGGAGGGTCAGGTAGCATTGGTTTGCCTAAAGGAAGCAGCTCTGTGTGCTGGGAGCACAGGGAGGGGTGGAGTACGGAAAGACAGGCAGGGCCTCTCAGAGTGTGTGTGTGTTGGGGGGCGGAGGGTGGGATGAGGTGCTGTTAATGCAGATTCCCGTCTGAATCACGGTCTCTCCACATGGAACCCGGCAATCGGCGTCGTTAACGTGGCCCAGATGCTGCTCCTGCTTTCTGAATTATGAAAACTAATTCGGAGGAAGAAGGGCCTGGTGTCAGTTACCAGGGTGGGATCTTATCCTGAAGATCGTGGGCCTAGGCTTCCTCACGTGTACCATGGGGGTGACCCTCCTCTCATTGGGTTTCTGTGAGGCTTCGGGGAGCCCCTAGCACAGTCCCGGCCACGTGGTGGGCACTCGGGAGAGGAGCCCACGGTTGTTTTCGCTATTAGCAGACACGGAAGTGTTTGAAGCAGGGAGCGGAGGGATCCGGTTTGCTCTGGGAAGTGACGGTAGTGGCCACGTGGAGGAGGCCGACCACCCGCAAGTGGACTCGCTGCCCACTCAGCTGTCCTGGTGGAAGGTCCTAGAATGACTGGTGTTTGGAGGGGGT